GGGGCTTGAGGACCTGTCTGGGCTGTGTGCGAGGGGAAGTGGGGGGACTGGAGGAGAAGGGGATGCTGTTGGGAGTCCAGTAGACGGGAGGCATGTGTTGGCGGGTCATCTGGGCTGGGGAGAAAGCATAGAGGAAGGAGGCTAAGGTAGGCCTCGGAGTACGAAGTTGAGGTGTGGGTTGGGAGATCAGGGTGGACTGGATTTAGATTTGAAAGGTAAATAGATGTTTGTACGGGAGAGAGTAAGCAGTAACATTGATTCTAGGTGATGGAGTGGAGGGAGGGGCGTGGAGAAAGTTATCGCAACAAATACGGGGTAAAGAGAGAGCTGTGGTGGGACGGGGTTGTTTCGGACTGAACGGATGGGATAGGGAAGTTTGCTGCTGGCCGAAAAGGGGTGGGGCTTTTTTTTGTTGGTGTTATGGGTAAACGCAGTATTTCGAGAGGGTGGGTGCTGATTTGTGGTGGCACAATTTGTTGTGGACTCAACACGTGATAGGGTTATTGATACGCTGTTTTTGAAGCAGTTTTCACTTTCCTTTAGAAGTGCAAAACCTGGTTGCTCGATGTCTTCGTGCTTATTCTTTCCTCCCTGTATAAATGTGGAGTACATATAGACTGCCCTTAAAGTTATACAGCATAGTTGTTCTTACTCAGCAGCTGAGGGAGGATGGTGGTGGCTTGGAAGCAGTATTTGAAGGAGAGCATAAATCAAACACTTTAAATATTTGGAATGGATGAGTTTTATTTTATGATGCTGAAGTTTTTGATCACAAAAATGTGTTCTCTAAAGATATGTCCTTGCTAGAGAAAAAACCATGTACCTATAATGGAGGCCTTATGTCAATTTATTTATTTAATTTATAACCTACTTTCCTCCCCAGTGGGGACCCAAAGTAGCTTACATTCTCCCCTTCTGTGTATTATCCTCACAACAAACCTTGTATGGTAGGCTAGGCTGAGAGTGACTGGACAGATCACCCAGCAAGCTTTCATGGCAAAGTGGAGATTCAAGCTTGGATCTCCCAGATGCTAGTTTGACTGCAGTAATCACTGCACCATGTTGGCTCTCTTGGAAAGGTACCATGAAAAGTTTCAACTGGCTATCCCACAAATTAAGTCTCTGTTAAAGACACAAGACACTTTCTCTTAGACTGTCTCTTTTGTTGTGATTGTGTGTGTGAAATCCCAATTGTCTAGTGATACTAGTGCTGCTTGATACTGGGTGTATGCTTTTGTATGAAAATAAAGTGTTTTGTGCTTCATGCTTGTCTATATGCTGGATCAAGAAGTTGCTTGAAATTCAAGAAGAGACTCGGGCCCCGTTCACACGGCAAATTTGCCGTGGGAGAGCCACGATTGGATGGCGGATTTTCTGGGTGTGATCACACCACAACATCTGGCAAGTGGAGTGCACCCGTGGCCAACCCGTGGTATGCCGCCAAAAATGTGCGATTAAAAAAACCTCCTCAAAGGTAGTAGCAAACGGTTTGCCACGGGCTGCTTCCGGACTCCCTTGGTGTGATCACGCCGGCGTGGCTTTTCTCTCCAGCCGTCTTTGTTGCAGCGCACATGCCAAGGGCCAGAACCGTGGGTTGCCGCTGCCACGTCTGATCGCGTTGTCGTGTGGCTAATTGCAATGCCACAAATCGCCACGCCTCCTCCCCGCGTTTTCCGGCCCGTGTGACCGGGGCCTCACTATAGTATCTCTGCTTTGTGTTCTTAGGTTATCTTTGTCAGGGAAAGTGAACATGTGCATGTGAGCCATTCTTAGTGACTTTTGGTTATTTACTAATTCAGAGTGAGCCCTGATCTGGATAGTTCAGGCTAGTCAGATCTCAGAAGTTTAAGTAGGGTCAGCTCTTGTTAGTACTTGTTTGGGAGACCACCAAGGAAGTTTAGGGTTTCTAGGCAGAGGCAGCAATGGTAAAACACCTCAAGTTAGTTCCTTGCCTTGAAAACTCCATGGGGTCGCCATAAGTTGGCTGTAACTTGGTGGCAAAAAATAAAAATCAGACTGATTGGTTTTGGGATGATGCATATTTCTACCAATACATTTTTAATAAGTGTCAGTGTGATGTCTTCATAAATCCTTTTCCTAATTAACATTAAATGAAATTTGTCTTGTGTTCATAGTAGGGAGTACTGCATAAGGTGCATAAAACTTCCTGCTAAACAATAGTAAAATATGCCTGGGGGAATTTCATGAGATATGTATTTGTTTTAAAACATTTTAATTTCTGTATTTGTTTTCATACTTTGCAATTAAAGGTGTAAGTAGAAGTAAAATTGTCAAAATAAGTATTTCACTGAAATGTACCATTAGCTTTTAAAATAATCCACTTGTAATGTTTCCTGCTGCTTTCAACAGTGCAGGCTGTAATACTAAGAATACTTTACTGAGAATAAAAGCCCACTGAATAAAATTGGACATTTCTGAGTAGATCTGTTTAGGATTGTTCTGTTTTGTTTTTTAAAAGAACTTCTTGGAAGTGTTTTGTTCATATTAATTAAAAGAGAGCGCTTGGAAAGCCATGAAGTCTGGTATGCATCAAACATTTGTGCTGGTATCTAGAAGTTCAGAATATTTCATTTCCCATATGAACCTACCCATGCTCTTAATTGATCTGGAAAGCTACATCTCTGTGTTCTGCCACTGGGGAAGATTTGGTGGCTCTTTTGAATGGATCTTCTTAGTGGAGGCACTGGGACTTGGGAACTCCCTACGCCTCCTTCTTAGCATGACTCTGAAAATTTAAGACCATGGTGTATGGGTTGGTTTAAAAATTGCTGCTACTTTTTGCTGTTTGGGCTTTATCAAGAATGTATAATTCTCAGTTTTTAAATGCCGATTATAGAATATGGTGGCTCTGTCTTTTGTGGCTTTATTACTGTTTTCATCAGTTGCCCTATCTGTTACAATGTTTATCTCTTGAAATGGTTAGAATGGTGGCTCAGGATGACCAGGGTTCAACCCCTTGCTTGCCATGAAATTGACTGGATGACCTTGAGCTAGACATTCTCTTACAGCCTAACCTACTTTACAGGGTTGTTAGGATAAAATGGAGAAGGAGAGAATCACCTATCACACCCAGAGCTCCTTGGTGGAAGGGTGGAATGAAAATATGCTTAATAAATGTATTTGAATTTTTTTAGGGATTGTGAACCTCACCTTTGAAGAACTGACAGTTCTTTAATTTTTTTTCTTCCCTATGCAAGAACAGTAAGTATACACTTTTCTCAGTCCTTCACTATGTTAGGAACTTTGACCCTTCCAGTAGACTATGTTGAATTTCTATTTGCGGGGAAGAAAATCTCCACTTTGCCCAGGTGCCTTTGGTATCAAACTGGTAGATAGTGTGGGGCACAAATAGTTTTTTTTAAAAAATGGCATTGGATCCTGTAGAATTTCCCCAGGTACAAGAAAAATGGGGTAACTTTTTGCTGATTCCTCTTTGCCTGCAGTACCTCTCATTCTAAGCCAGTGGTGGCGAACCTATGGCACGGGTGCCAGAGGTGGCACTCAGAGCCCTCTCTGTGGGCACATGTGCCATCGCCCCAGCCAGGCGCAGACCATCATTAAAGTGTTGAATTCTCTGCGAAATAATTTTAAGTAAATAAAAGCATTTGGGATTGCTTTCCTTACTTTGTTTGGATCATCTTAAGTTAATGTATGAGTTGTTTTTTCTAAAGTAAAACCTCAGTATTCAGGTTAAATTGCCATGTTGGCACTTTGCAATAAATAAGTGGGTTTTGGGTCGCAGTTTGGGCACTCGGTCTCTAAAAGGTTCGCCATCACTGTTCTAAGCTATTCAGTGGGGTCCCCCATCCTGCAGTAACAGCATTTCAGACAGTGTTTTGGGGTTCCATAAGAGGGGGAATTATGAAAATTTCCAATTCTAGTTGGGTAGCAAAAATATTTGGTATTGGAAGAAACAAAAGAAATAGACCATGGTTCTGTAGCACTCAATGCAAGTGTTGGAAGAGAAGCCAAGGTTCTCTTCCAAGGTTCTAGGGTATTGATTAATATGTATAATAGTAGTCAATACTACTCTTGGCGCACGCGCACACACACATACACATACACTCTCTCTTTCTACGTGAGTTTTGGGGGAAAGTAGGCAGAAATACTTAATATTTAAATAACTTCACATTGACCTTTACAAGGCCAGGTTTTTAGCAGCTATAGTAGAAAGCACAGTCGGGTATACACAGTTAATAATTTCAAGACTGGCTTTTTCTGAGGTAGGCACAGGGGTGTAGCCAGGATTTTTTAAGTTGGGGGCACAATGCAGGTGGGGAGGGAGCCATGCCACTGTGGTCATCGTCACACTGCAATTCACAACGCAGATGAAAACCAGGAGACGGGGTGCTGGACTGACCACCCCACTGCCCCCACCACTTTGCTTCATTCCTGTGCCCTGTCTGGCGGCGTCCCATTCAGTGGCATGGGATTGGAGGGTGGGGCTGGCCAGCGAGGTCGCAGGGTGAGGGCAGGGGTGGGACTCCAGCAGGCAGGCTCGGCTCCAGTAGGCAGGCTCAATGAGGGCGATGGTGCAGCGTGGCTGTGTACTGCAGCACAAAAAAAAAAAAAATTTGCAGGGGGCCTGGGCTGGATGGGAAGTTGTGGGACCTGGGTAGGCAGTTAGAAATGGTTATGCCTTTTCCTGTCTAGGTACACAGCCTGAACTACTTTTTTGCAGCCGCTTTTGACATATTGAGTAATAGTTGTGGTAATATTATAGAGAACTTTCCCATAGTTGGTGTTAAGAATAAATACATTGCAGGGATAGAATAAGTGTAGACTTAGCATTTAAGTGGTAGCTTCCACCCATAGTTCTCAGTGGGCTTTATGAAACTGTAAACAGTTTTCCTTTGGTGATTGAACTGATCCAATGGTGGAAGTACTAACATTTAAGACCTCATATTTAGGCATATGCTGAGTCTGAAATATAGAAGATATCAATTTCTGCTGTGTTGGCCACTCTTGTTAAATGTCCAGTAACTTCAGTTTACTAAGTATTCTTGAACTCCTATAGTGTACTGTAAGGGGAAGAGTTAAGCTGTGAAAGGAACAGGACGGAGAACTTGTATAAAGAGGTTCTGAACTTGTATAACTTCTGAAATTGTATTATCACTATAGCGGCAGGGAAGTGCAAAAGAACAACTTTCTGTAAGATGCAAAGCCAGGGGGAAACTCTAGAATACCTTTACATGACTGGAGGCGGAGGAATTGTGCACTGTTTTGATAATGTTCAGGTGATAGTATGGCATCCTCTTAAACAACTCAAGCAGAAATATCCAATACTTATAATTTATGTGTATATTATTGGAATCAAGGAGACGGTTGATACAAAATATACAGATTACTTCATTCAAAATAAAGTAGTGTGGAAACACCAGGCCACTGGTGTATGAAGAATGAAAAGAATCATTAATTTAATCATCCTGAACAAGGGTTTTGCTTGCTGTATTCTTCTTGGTTTAGAATTTTTAAAAGTATGTAGTGTTGCAGGTAATTAATATAGCTTTAATTGGCTTAATTTCTGGTGTAGCTGTATCTCTTAATATTTTCCTCAGTTGTGTGTAAATCTTGAAAGTAGTAATTCAGGTTCAGATGTAGCTGTATACAAAAGATTGCTTAGTTGTGTGTAATGGTTTGCTTTCAGTTAGCAAGGTATAATTCTTCACACACACACACACACTGTTGCTGCCCAGAGTAACTTGAAACACATAAGCTGACTATATTTACTTGAAATTTAATGTGCTGCTTAAAAAAACCTTTTCACTGCTTCAGACATTTAATGAGTTAGTACCAGGTGCTGAGACTCTACTGTATTTGTAATGTAATAGCAACCAGTTTAATGCAATTTAAACCACAGCTAATTTAAATGATGAAATTAGGGCCCCGGTCACACGGGCAGGAAACTGCGGGGTGGAAGCATGACAGTTTGCCCCGGGGCAAACTAACGCGCGGTTACGTGATCAGACCTCCCGTGGAGGTACCGTGGAGGTTCCGTGGGTAGGGAGAGTTGCCGATCGCAGGACAATCCCGAGCGCAAAACAGAAGCGCGCGGTGCGGCAAACTGGTTGGGGTTTTTGTGTGTACACCACGACTGCGCATGCTCCGTTGGGTGCTTGTGCGCATCCACAGAGACTGTGGGGGGAAAAAACCCTTGTTTGCAAGGGGACATGGGCGGGCGCCGGATGCCTCCGGAAACGCGATCAGATGCCTGCCCTTGCCCCACAGTTTCCGGAAACTAGTCCCTCCAAGGTACTCGTTTTTTGCTGCGTGTTTTCGGCGGGAAGCCTCGGTTGAGCCACGGAAGTGCTACGCTTCCCAGATGTGCCGGTGAGATCGTGCCCGGAAACTCCGCCTGTCTTCCGTCGCTTTAGCGTGGCGAATGCTCCGTGTGACCGCAGCCTTAGTTACCTTTGACTTTGTTTAAGGATGAATATACCTATTGCAGTGGTAAGCACCATTTGCAGTTCATAAACATAATGTGAAGGATGTTACTTAAATTATGTGAGTCCAGGAACCAAGAGCTTAGACCACTGGTGGCCAAACTGCGGCTCTTTCACACATATTGTGCAGCTCCCGGCGGGACAGCTGGGAAAGTGAAGGGGAGGCATGCCTCCTTGATCGATCTTTCCGTCCCCAGCCAGTGTTCCTCTCCCTGGGTAGGCTTGGAGTATGGGGGGGGGGAGCAGAGAAAGAAAGCAACTTTAACCACAAGACAGATTCGGCTGAACCAGGACCTCTGATCCATCTGCAGTATACCATCTTTAATTTGACTGGAAGACCGACATTATTCTGAGCACTTTAATTGTAATGTATGATTGTTTTATCTTGTTTTTATATATCATGGCACACAGTGCCTTAAGTGTAAGCCACCCTGAGCCCGTCCACGGGGAGGGCGGGATAGAAATCCAATAAAATAAATAAAATTAACTTTAAACGCATTCTCAAAGTCCCCACCCCCCACCCCCCGCTGGCTTGGAGAAGGCATTCGTCTCTTTAAATCCCTTCAGGCCAAGCTGGCATGGCAGTGGGGGCAGGGAGCTTTAAGAACACATTTAAAGTTAAATACATATAATTGGGTAAATAAATATTATCAATATCTGCTTTTACCCCTTTTGTTTTTATTTTTGGCAGTCTCATTTAATGTTAATAAAAGGCAAATTTGCATTTTTTTCAATAAAAACATCTGTGTAATATTTGTTCATAACTTGTGGCTCTCAAACATCTAACGTTTATTCTATGTGGCTCTTATGTTAAGCGAGCTTGGCCACCCCTGGCTTAGACTTTAGCAAGGTTCAGATTTCAGTTAAACACTTACTATTGTAAGTTGCCTTGTGAACAACAAGAATGGCCTGCTTCACTCTGATGTACTTTACAACAATATTGTTTGTTCACATGGAAAAAGCATGTATATTCTTTGTGAATGTTGCAGACATCTCTGATCCTGAGGCTTTTCTATGAATGCAAGTCCTAGTCGTTACATCTGTTCCCTGGTAGAATTTAAAACTATTATTGAAATGTTTGTCATTATCACACGTACTGGTGTGTGTAAGTGCCAGGCTTATGTATTGCAGGGGACTCTGGAGGGTTCAGAGTATCCCTTTACATTCTTCATACAAGCATATTACACTGTCACCACCTGTAGGATGCCTGTTGGTTGAGGCTGAGCCACCCACTTGTGCTGTGCCTCTTTAGTATAAAATCTTCAAGAACGCTTACAAAACCAGAATGCAAGCAAAATGAAATGGTTCTAAGAAGATGCAAATAAAAAATGAATTGAAATCTATCCAGACTTGCAATCCAATGTAAATAATGGCCACCAAAGTGTCAGGAAAAAATCCTCTAAAGTTTGAGAAAATAAGGTAGTCTCAAGTTGGCATACCAAGGACAAATAGTATCAAATGAATATCTAGTATTCCTCTGCCATATGACTCCAGTATCTAGGGTACAGTTTTGCTCTCTCAGCTGTAGCCTGTTCACTTTCATTGGTTCCATAGAAATCAGTATGAGTTGAGTACTCAGGTAGCCTCTTTCTGAATGGCCACTTCTTCACATGCATGTTCCCTTGCTGAATTCCTGTTTGCGGTATAGGTGTTATCCTGGGTACTGGCTGTTATATAACTGACTAGGAGTAATGCCCGTTGTGGGAAGAAATACAACGAGATCTAGAAGGAACCTCCAGATGAGTGTCCTGACTGTGG